CGTGGGGTCCAGCAGAGGCTCAGCCAGGACAAGGGAGCTTACAAGTGAGGGATGGGCCCAGTCGCCAGGGTGACAGGCCGAACCACCCCATGGTCAGGAAGGGGGCGCAGGCCAGGCAACGTGTCCTCCACCATCCATCCACGGGAGCCCACGCCACAGCACTGTCAGCAGCTTTGCTGGCGTTGGAAGCCCCCGGGGTGAAACACTGGGAGAGACCTGCATTAGCTGCCTTGCCGGCCCTTTGCTGCCGCCGTGCGGTGATGTTGGGCTGCCCAGTCCCAGTTCTCAAGGTCCACATGGACATGTTGGTTGCGGCAGTCGATGGGCACCGCTCAGTGCCGGGGCAGCGTGGGAAACCCAATCAGTGAGGTTGGATCCGTCGCAGGCCGCTCTGTAGTCCCCACTCCACTCCAGCCCAGCACCTTCACATAGACTATCCGACTGTGCTTGGGTTGCAACCTTTCCACCATGGAAGCAAATGCTAAGCTGCAAACGGAGAAGGACCGGGTGGCGGTGGTGATCAAGTTCAGGAAGGAGCTGTGTTTGCTCAGCAAGATCAAATGGTACATACAAATGGTTCTTACATGTCACATTCCCCTGGGAGCAGCGGTGGGTGGATGTGGCTTTGAGCATGGTGTTAAGAACCGAGGCACGTCATTATATTCACTCCCCTCAAAGGTCCCCAAAAGACGGCTTCCGTGTTTGGTCTCACGCACTCGGGGTTAGTACATCCTTCTCCCACGGTGTGCTAGCTAGGCCAGCAGGAACTGTGGGTGGAGTTTAATCAGGTCCCAGCTTGATTGGAAGGTGACCAAGAGAAAAAAAGAAGGCTGGCATCCACTCTCTCTTGCTCCCTGGTGATCAGACCAGCGTGCAACCTTCAGTCTTTAGCCAGTTCTCTGCCTCCGCCTGTGTGCTGCACTACCCGGGGGCCAAGCCAACACGTGGGCTGTGTTGCTAGCCCTGGAGGCTCCTTGGAGACCTGCTTTGCACACTGGTGTACGGACATCGCTTGAGCTGCAGGCTGGTGGGTACTGGCGCCTTGCTTCCGTTCCAGACCGTATCAGGGTCTGCTCTGCTGAGCTCCTGAGCTACTGACTGTTGCTGACCTGCTCTGCCGCCTGCAGGCAGACTCTGCCTGTCTTGCCGGAGGGAAGACTCCGTTGTCTGCTTCCTTGACCTTGCACCGGCAGCCCGCGTGAGTTGAAGGACTTTCAGTGTATTAACTGCTCCACACCAGTGAGTTGAACTGAGAGAGGGATGGAGCCCCATGAGGCACCTGCAGTTCATGAAGTTTCCTTTTGAATTCATTTCATGTAGAGGAAATGAAGCATTCGCTTGCTCTGTGGCATGATGGGAGCCCATGGGCAAGGGGCCACCACCCTGGGCCCTCAGGATCATCAGGACATGGATGAGCGTGTTGATCCCTCTCCATCGGCGTCTACGGGACCCACACCCACTGCCAAATAAATCACTCTCTGTATGGAAAGTCTGCTTCCTGTGGGGCAGACGCACCTTACGTAGCACGGCCACTCTGCTTCAACACGTCCTGCCTCCCAGGGGCCCTCCTTCCCCCACTCCCTCGTTCTGCACTCACGCGTCTTCTTCTCACGAGGCCCTGGGGGTCTGCAGGACCTCTGCAGGGCAGGCTCCCTGAAGGGCCACGCTTGTGGTCTGAGATGCCACCTGCGCCACAGCACAGGGAACAGGGGCACCGGCACATCAGCCCACACCCACTTAGCCACGCTTGTGAGGATTCTTGGAAAACAACAACACAGGGTGTCAGCTGAGGAAAAGCTTCCACCTCGCATAAGCGACTCCTCTTTTACCTGGAGGGTGTTTGCACCCTCTTGATCACTCCATGAGTTTCTACATTGTAAAGTTCGTCTCTGCTGCTCCCGACAAACTCGGGACACCCAAGTCCATGTGTTTCACACGCAGGGCTGTTAATGAACCAAGGCCCCGGGGGACGCCCTTTCCCCGGCACAGAGAGACGCCGGGCTCTGTTTCCTGGCCCCCACTTTCTCATCCCCCGTAGAGGAATGTACACAATATGGTGTCACTTCCGGGAAGGAGCATCTTCAAAGGGTTTCCATGCTGCCCGTCTGAGACAGCTCCATGTTACCCTTCTGTTAGGGTCAGACATGTGGGGAGCAGGGAGTGGAGGGAGCGAGCCTCTGGCCTTCTGAGGAGGGAGCTCAGTTGTGGCCACACTTCACCTGGACCGAGCAGGAGAGCCAGGGTCCACGTTTGGGGAAAAGGCGTTCGTTCTTGCAGGGATACGATAGCTCCCCGGCCACCTTTATCAATTCACACAGGATCCAGGGACTACTGATGCTCCTTCCTGAGACGTACAGTCTTGAGGCAGGTTCGTTCTCTCTGGGGAAACCTCACTGTTGGCTTTTAAGGCCCCCAACTGATTGGATCAGGCCCACCTACATTGGGGAAGTTAATATACTGACTGGATTGAAAGTTAGCCACACGTAAGCAA